CTCGAGCAGGCGCAGGAAGGATATTTCATGAGGGGCGAGGCCAGGGTTCGTCGGCGAGGAGCTTCGGATCTTGGAAATGTGGACGGGCCTGCCCGTCAATGTTGCTATCGTGAGTCGCTGAGCAAAGGCTCTATGGCCTGTGAAGCGCAGGAAGTCTGGCGTGGAATTCGACATCTTTGGCGGTGGTGGTTGTAGCTCACAACCTCCCAGAAGAGATCGCTAGAAAGCGCCCAGACTCGCAGGCGCAACAAAAAATTATCTTTCTGCCAGGCCCAAACGACTATAGTGGCAGATATAGAAGGCGGTGAAGTCATGCCCCACTGAAAAGTCCTTAGTTTGGCGACTTATCGATAATGCCCCCCCAAGTCCAATCCGAATTGCAGCATTTTATAAGCTGGCAGTCGTTGAAGAAGCAAACTCGACAAGACTGGAGACGCTTTCGGGCGGCGGAACTCGCCAGTAATGACAACAATCAGAGCCGCCATGCCAGCCAGGTCATCTCTGTTTGATCTGACAGGTCGAAATGTGTCTATATGCCGAACCTGCCTACACATCCGACAACGACCCGTGCAAGTGCAGCAGCCATGGATCGCATCCTATTCGTCACAAGTGCCACGAACCAGACCGAGATCACGAACGCGAAGACAAACGCGAGAAACCGGTTTTAGAAAGCCAACTGAGTCGGAACTTCTCAGCCAGCTCGCGGAGGCCCAAGAAGGAAGCAATGACATCCCGCACACTATTCGGTTTTTCGAGCAGGAGGGTGACAAGCGTGTGGAGCTCCAGGACGATGGCTCGTTTGAGCAAAGTCTCAGTGGCCTCGATGCAACTGAATTCAAGGAATCGCTTTTGAGGATGAAGAATGCACTCCCGTCCGATCAAGAGAAGGAAGCCTTCGAAGAGGTAATGCGCGGGTTAGGTGGAAGTTCGTGGGACAGAATAAGGACCGCAGAAGATATTGAGCAGATGATGTCGGGGGTGGACAATTACAACGCTTCCCTCGACGCGGAGATCGAAGAAACAGCTAGGCAACTACCAGAGGACATACGGGAGCGGTTCCACCTTGCAATGGCGGAGTGGTTGCCCAAAATTGAGGATGGAGTCGCCCCTCAACGCAACGCCGTCCCTCAGATTCCGCATGAGCCTTGGACTATCAACCAATTCAAGAAAGTTGCAAGGCTTAATACAGTCATCAGCAAGGTGTCGCGGGACATGCTCCGTCCGGCTGGTCTCAATGAGAAGCATGTCCTCGCCGTCTATAAAGCGTACCATGCAGCTCGACGGTCCCTTGCAAGCAACTGGAGTGGTATCCCGATCAACGTCTGGGATTTCTTGTGGAATATCTTCTCCGCCAACTCGAAAATCAACAAACAGCGTTTTGCCCATGTCGCTCAACTTTCCCGGGACATGGCCGAAGCAGGAGCAACCCTCAGTTATCCTCAGCAACTGCTTACCATTGAAGCCCTGTTTGTGGATGGATGGGAAAACAAGGCCATTGAGAACTGGAAGCGATGTGTGACCACGCTCGGCAAAGAGTCAGAAGAGACTTTCCAAGACTTTTGGGAACTTGGAGTTCGTATGTATTGTCGGATAGGCGATCTTGAACATGCAGAGAGTGCCACACAAAGGCTTCTTGCGAATCACGCCGACCCGCGCATCTTATTGCCAGTAATTCAGACTCTTTCTGAACGTGGTACGCCATCTGATCACGAACAGGCATGGGCCTCTTACCGACAGATGAGAGAGCTTCTAGGACGTGATATGAATATTAAAGACTACGATAAAGTTGTCTCATACTTTCTGACTACGAATCAAGTCGAGAATGCCCTTTTCGCATTCGTCGACATGATGAGTGATGGGTCAATCGATATGAAACAGCTCAAAAGAATGCCATCAGTTGTGGCTAACAAGTTCTTCCTTGGAAAATGGCTCAAGCGCCTGATCGGTGCTGGTGACCTTGACGGCGCCTACACCGTCGTCGAATTCATGAGACAAAAGGGAGTCCAGGCCGCTCCAATTCAGCTGAACGGTCTTATCGGAGCCTGGCAACGTTCCGGCGGCGCCGACAACGTGGAAAAGGCAAATGATCTGGCTTGGAAGATGATCGAGGCCCGAATAGCCTTTGTATCAGCTCGCGAAGCTGGCAAATCCATCGCTTATACTGAAAAGAACAAGGTCGCTTCACTACCACCAGCAACCCTGGAGACCTTCTGTGTGTTAGCAGAGAACTACCGCACGCGAAACCTCCAGGCCCAGATGGGCCTGCTTTGGGATGCTTTCCGAGACGCCAAGATCAGTCCAGATGCCTTCATGATGAACCAGCTACTGGAGTCCTACCTTCAATCAGGGCAGGCTGAGGAAGCCGAAAAGCTTTATCACACGCTTGTTGTGGAGCAAGGGGTAACTCCTGACCCGTACACCTTCAGCGCTCTCTGGAAGCTCGTAGGCATCAACCGTTTCTATCGCACAGATGATCAGATGATCCGAAAGGACATTGAAACTGCTCGAAAACTGTTTGCGGAGACGGTAAAATTCAAGGGCGTTTTCCAGGAAGACGGCATGGACATCCAGCTCTCCCGCAAGATCCTGCATACGCTTCGGCGTTTGAAGGACCACGCCGGATTCATAGTTGCCCTGACCACACTCAAAGAGCATTTCAAGTTTCTCCCAACCGAGACCCTCGTGGTGGAGATGGTGCTGGGCACCAAAAAACTTTCCTGGGATACCCCAGCGCAGCGCAGGAAGCTGTTACTAGCCAAGCGTGAGATCGATCAGGAACTCATTGCCTGGGCTGACGAAGACATGTCTAAACTCGAAGGCGAGAATAGGGGTGTGGCACTGTATGAATACCTGCAGAAGAAGCTGTGGCCTGCAATGAGCAATGAGGAGGGAGCCAGATCCTTGGTTGACGTGGCCAAGCAAATGGGCGTGTACGAATTACTGATGAGCAAAAAGGGCAGGACAGACTTATAGACTAGGGAGAAAAGGATCAAATATTGTACATCTACTCTGGCATCTTGTAACATTTAGATAGATAGCCCTCCAAGGCTTGCTTGTATAGTAGGTATTTAGCCAAGTCAGAACAGACATGTATAATATTAATGATATCTCGCTCCACACCACTGCCTTTAGAGTCGTGTGACATTGGGCCAGGACTTGCTGGTATCGAGATATATTGAGTGGCACTGATGAGTGAATGAACCCTATTCATCCTCCATGCCAGTCCGGAACTCCAGCGCTAATGCATTGATTTCTAAACCACCCCGAACAGAATGTTCGCAATTTGTTTGATAAATAGCCGTGCGACTCTGTCGCAGGTTATCTAGGGAAGATATTGGGGTGCGTGTTTCCCCTGGTCCCATGGAGAGCATATCGCTCCTTGGTCGATATATCGCTGGTGCCTACCAGTTCTTGCGGCGGCTTCTCCCTCTTGCTCTTCTGACTCTGCCCCTGCCTCTGACTCCGCCTCTAGCTCGGGATTGCGGTTGAAGGGCACCACCACCAAGCTCTGAATCGCCTACGCCTGACGCTGCAATGCCCGGCCTCTAACCTGTTGTCATTTCAACGTCTTCGTTTCCCAAACGGTCTCCCACAGAGCTCAGGCCCGAACTAGGGGACCGCGCGTCTCGGTGGTCCACGCCGTTCCCGTTTATCTTGGGCGAAGGGGACGGTTCCAGATTCCCGGTCCGTTGGGTTATCCAATCGTCAATACTTTTAATGTCGCCTCCACCCTCGACCTCAATCTCGCCAGTATCCGCCGGCTTTCCCAATATCGTGCCCTGGAACTTGGCATCATCCGATGTCTTATTGTGTCTCTTTTTCAGTGCTATCGTCGTGGGTTAGCCATGCTCGCGGAGAAGGAGACAGTTGAAAGGCAAGGAGCCCGCGTCTCGAACTCACCGTGTAGATAGTCAATCTCGTCGTTCTCGCCGTCCCCCTTGGCAAAATCCATAATCTCCTTCATCCGCTGGCCGGAGAACCACTTGACGAACTCCTCGACGCCTCGCAGGTCCTCCTCGCCCAGCCATTCTTGCTGGACGGGCAGCGCTTCCGGCAGGAGGGCGCCCAGGTCCTGGAGGGCCATCCTGATGTCCACCGTGGAGAAGTCGCCCGCGTCGCCGTGGTTGTGCACCGCATGATCCGCCGTCTTCTCGCACAGCGTGGAGAGGTAGCGCGCGGCGAGGTCCGTCACGCAGTCCAGGACGGCAGGGCTGCACGCATGGTAGCCCGTGGCTCGCAGGATCTGCAGGACAGACGGTCGGAGAAAGGCGTGAAACAAAGTCGTCGGGGCCGGCATGTTTGGGACGAGTCGCCGGGTGTGAGCCGGCCGAGCTAAGATGGTTGCAGAGGGGAGCGCGAGGTTCGAATCGGTAGGAGGGAGAAAGTTGAGGCCGCCGAGCTATGTGTGCTTGAATCTAGTCGGTGCTGTCGCGCGCGCGCAGAGTCGTCATCGGCTAGGACGCAAAGATATCCATCAGATAGCGCATCTTCATCCAACTCGAAAAGAAAGCTAGTGATGCTGTTTGCTTTGGAGGGACGATGGGTGTGGAAAAAGTAAACAAGGCCACTTCCGACCAAGCTCTAGTTGATGCCGGACCTGGATGATCACCAACAGCTGGACTTTTATTAGCTGCAGTGCTTTGGGTTTCGCGGGGCGGCAGGCACCGCTGCAGGTGCACCTTCCAGGAGCCTCGTACAGTGCAAATGTGTACAGTGCGCTATTATATGTGTACTGTTTTCCATGCCCAAATATTCATTCGCCTTTGAACCATTCACCTTTGACAATTTCTGTGCTTTCAGCTTCAGTCAATGAACTATCCAATTTAATTTTACTATGCTATTCACCAAACATTTCTCCAGAGGCCGTTCGTTTTCAATGCGACACTTAGAGTCCAGGACGTTGCAGAACGACATCCAACTATATGCATGAAAACCCGTGCTAGTCGAAAGCAGTAAAGACAGAAGCGAAGTTCATCGTAACCAAAGTGACGGTGATAAAGCTACATGGTTAGTTTCCCTGTTCCAGAGGCCAGCTTCGCCTCCTCATCAATACCGCTGTATTTGTTGATCCAGCCCAACACCTCCCGGTGCCATACGAGAGAGTTCTCTGGCTTCAATACCCACTATTGACAACGTTAGCTTTCATGTCACATTTCTGCGTGTTCCATAGAAGGCTTGTCAAACTCACATGGTTCTCGTCTGGGAACATGACAAGCTTGCTCGGGATGTTGCGGGCTTGCAACACATTGAACATTGCCAGACCTTCCGATATCGGGAGACGATAGTCAAGTTCGCTGTGGATGACCTGGTGCCAAGTGTCAGTCTGACCAGCTCGAAATTCAATCATTTTTAAAATCCCGTGCGGTACTACTTACCAGCTGCGGGGTAGCCCAGTTACGAAGGTGTCTTGACGGGTCCCATCTTTCATATCCCTCTCTATTTTCCCACAGTGTACCACCAAAGTCATGCTCTGGGAAGAAGAGTTCTTCGGTGGACCATTGGTTCAACGTCGAAAATACGCCATCGTGGCAGACCAGCGCCTTGAACCTTCTACCAAGATCGTGGCCTTGGATCCAATCTTTGTTCGGCTCGGTTAGCCTTAACTCTCGAGTTTTCCTCACAACTGCGACTAGAAGATGAGTGTGTTGGTAAATAACTTACTAATCATATAGCCACCATACGATCCTCCCAGGGCTACCGCCCGGTTGGTGTCCACATACTCGACATTCTTCTCAATATACTCGAAACATTTAACGAGGTCTTCATACGGATCACCACCCCAGTTATTAGCAATGGCATCGGTGAAATCCTGGCCATATCCTGTACTTCCCGTCGGGTTTGGGCAAACCACGACGTAACCTTGCTCTGCAAAGATTGCTGGGTTCCATCGAGTACTCCAGTCATCCGTCCATGCCGACTGTGGTCCGCCATGGATGAGGAACGCAAGGGGGTATTTCTTGGCCTTGTCAAAATGAGATGGTGTCATCACAAGAGCATGAACTTGGCCCCCAGCAGATCCGGTAAACCACAAATCTGAGCACTGAGATTGACTCAGTCCCAAAGTCTTGCCATGCTTTGAACTGGATGAGACCTCTTTGAGAGACAGAGTTTCGGTGTCGAGAATGGCGTAGCTGGAATTTTCCACTCGCGATTTGGTGCTGATGAGGAGGGATTTGCTGGATCCGAGGGGTTTTGCTTCGATGACAGTCCCGTTTTCGAAAATGGCTTGCGGAAGCTCAGTTGCGAGTAAGGGAGACGAAGGTAGCTTCCACAGCATCATTCTACCGTGTTTATCGGCCGCCACATACAGCTCTTTATCATCGTCGCTCCATGTAATCCAGTCGGGCCTAAGGTCCCAGCCACCCTTATCATCGCTTGTTTGATAAAACTCCTGGACATTACTGAGGTCGGTCACATCTGGAATCAGCAATAGCCTAGGTTTATCAGATTCATACTGGTCCGACTTCATACGAGAGAAGGCAATCTGCTTCCCATCTTTGGAAAAAGTCGGGGACTGGGAGTATCCTCGTAGACGCCCAGTCTGGACTATTTGAGGAACAATGGGCTTTCTCAGCCCATCGCTGTGAACTGGGATGTAGTAGAGGTCTGTTTTTGTGTACCTCGCAGCGTTCAACTCGGGATCTTTGGCTACAAATGCAATACCGGTAGTTGAGATATCGAAATCGCCAGTACCGCCAAATGGTGGCACGGGGCTGCTCAGTCGAGTACCAGCCAGAATGTTGGTGAGACCAGGCTGCGGCAACGACCATCGGCCGTTCTCCTTTACCAGAATCCCGAACCAGAGAGAGCTCTGTATCTCATTTGTCCAGGCGTCCCAATGCCGGGCGAAGAGCGATGTGTACACCTTGGCGGAAGACTGAGACTTGGCCTCGGCAGAGGGCCAGTACATCTCACCACTTGGAGTAGTTGGCGCAGAACAACACAAATAGGCCTTGGTGGAAGAGAGCTGCTTGATCTTGGTGTTTGATATATTTCCAGCAAAGAATTGTATCATGTAGGGCCTTCTAGCGAAGCCGATATTAGCACTGCTCCCTCAAGTGAAGATGTTGCAGCCATGGGATACGAATTGAGTTGGCATGAATACTGACTCTGAAGTAGTCTCTGTCACCCGTTGAGCCATCAACGCGGTGCAGCCACGGTCGGTGGGCTTGAGGTAGGCAATCTCATCCTGGCTAATCCATACAGGATCGCTCGCAGCGGGATTCTCAGAGATGAGGTGTGATGCGCCATCCTTGATGTTCAGGACTCTGATCTGGGACGTCTTGACGTGGGTCTCAAACGAGTATGTCGATACCTACGGTTGGAGGTCAATCGAACGAAGCGCTGATAGAGCACGCGACCACAAGAAGCAAAATCAAACGAGGCCAATTCGCAATTACAATCAAGGTTCAGGGATGCTAAGGGGGATAAGAATGGAGCATAGACTTACAGTATATAAGAGCAAGTTCCCGGTCGAGTTGGGAATGCCAGCTGATCGGCGCGGGGCAGCAAGTAGCACCTCTGGGGTGAATTGTGTGGCCTTGATCGTCATCATGAAGGATTGAGCCTGGGCCAAGCCCAAGAAAGCTGGAGCTGGAGCTGGGCGGCGGCCTTGCTTTGCAGGTGCACCCAATCCCTTTGCCAATGGGTGCAGTTGGTGGCTGTCCAAGCAGGTCGGTCAATATAGAGGCGCGTATTAGTAGATGGTAGTGGGATGGTGGTGTAAGTTAACGGCTGCTAGCCACGATCGACTCGGGAATCAAGCCAGCAGGGTGTCAGAAATGGCCGGGGTGAAACTGGCATCAATCAAGAAGCAGAAGAAGGAAAAAGGGAATTGCCGAGTACAAAGCCACTCGGTCTTGTGTGGTTTACTTATATAAAAGCAGAGGAAGTAGGGAAAGTCGGTGCAACAGGCATTCTATGACCAGTTTTACCTTCACTTCCCCTCTTCATCCCCTCACTCAGCTCTGCCAACCCCGCATCCGCTTTACTGGTTGACTCAGAACTCGAACCTACATTGATGTGGATGGATCTGGAGAGATGACGCTTGTGCCGCCTGTCTTTGTGTCCTGTGTGTCCAGCTACAACTTACTCGCTGGTTGAAGCAGCTCGTGAAGGCAGGCCAGCACATCTCTACATGCACCTACTTCTAGTACACAGCTAGCCACTCACTGTTTCATGCCATCAACTGCCGGCACCTATTTCAACATCCGTTCCCCTTCACATGGTTGAGATACGGGGACTGATTAGCTTCTCTACGGCCCAGACCAGGGGTCTTCCTCGGGCTAGACATGGGCAATAGCTGCAATGAAGTCGGCCGTCTGATCCATCATCCCCGTATCTCCCCCCTCAGCAGAAGAAGTGTAGATCTTTACGGATACCAAACTCCCACCATCAGCCCCTCACTTGCACACACAGCATCCAAGCAAGTGGTGGTTAGCCTTCAAATTACCTCTTTGGTCCGTCCATCAATTCTTCCCACCACCCCGCTCCAAGTGCATGCGTCCCACCACCACCGCTACCACCTCAACCATGATTCATGTCGTGGCCGCTTCTGCAAATGGCAATGTTTACCTTGACTTGCTGAATATCCCACGTCCGGATCCAGAGTGGCTTTCCCCTCCGTCCCTAACGGGCAGCATGACGTCCAGAAACGCCCGCCCTTTGCATTGAGCCCACATGCCCAGGAGCCGACCTATCCTCGCATTCTTGGCCATCGCTACACCGGCACGATCTTCATCTTGATCTACCGCCGAGGATGGCCGGTCCTTATCAATGCCTCTACCAGCATTCCATCTCTCGACTCAGCGGCACCCAGTAGGTTCCACCTCTAAGTGGCCAGCTCGATCAACCCCACAAGAAGCCGACGATACTTCCACTATCACGAGAGTCATGTTCTTTCCCCTCTTTGACCCCCTCTCTTCGTACCGAACGATTGATTCGAGGGAAAACCTAATAAGAAGCAAAACCCAATTTATTATCTATGTCTGAGACCCCTCAGAGAACGCCGTTTGTCCGTCCATCCGTCCTACCAATCCCTCCACCCGCCACGTCCCCCCTCGGCAGTGGTTTAGCTATCTCGCTTTCATGCAACATATCCCTTTGCAACCCAAATAACAACAACGCCTGCAGGATCAGCGCTCGTGACCTGAAAAAATATGCTGCTTTATCCCCTCCCACGGTTTTCTTGTCCAGACAAAAAACCGTAGAGTTTCATCTGCCCGCTTTCCCCGCCTTCCTTTCCCATAGAGCTCTCGTGTTCATCCGCCGCTCTACTTTCGAGACGCCCCAAAATTCGTCCTCTTCTTGTTCGTCCCCGACTCGGCCTCGCTGTCGTCCACGTCCTTCTTTCCCTTCTTCTGGTTCTTACTTCCTCCGGAGGTAGTAGGCGTGGCGTTCCCGCTGTCCTTGAACGAGGCGGACATGGGGGTCGGGGCATGCGATGCAGGTGTCGAGCCCGGCGTAGCAGAGTCCTATTTTCCCAATTAGCAAATCCGCTGGGTCTCTCCACGCATGGACGCTCCGGCGCAGCAGCGTGAGGAACGGGCAACAAGAGTCTACTCACAGCGTTGTTTGGTCGGTACGAGATGGACGACCGCGAGAAGACCCGGTTCTGCTCGGGGGGGCCCGTCTTCCGCCTCTGCGCAGCCGCGCCGCTCGTGCCCTTCATGTAGTTGTCGAATCCGGTGATGATGTTCCCGCTCGGCGCGCTCTCGAGGTACGCCAGCTCCTTAGAGGCGATCCCGTCTTCGACCTGGGCCTAAATTCCGCCGCCACAACGTTAGCAAAATCCAGAGAGCCTCTTCCGTATCAAATTGTGAGTTTTGGGTTCAAGGGGGGCGTAGAAATATCGTACGAGTCTCTTTTCCAAAAGTCTCCTCTTCTCGACTAGATCGCGCACGCGCGCTTGAGATTTCTTGTATTCTGCCATGTTGACTGGCACGCTTCCACTAGAATCGGCTGCGGCACCAGCAGCGCCTTGTTGCTTGTCGGCCATACAATGGAGCGCGGTTCAACGTGCTGGTACTCGATGGCCTTCGATGAGTAGATCGCGTAGGTTGATGAAGATTGATGGAGGCTGATGGAGGAGCTGTTGCTGAGAATGTCGAACCCGTCAACGGTTCGAGGGCGGGTTCCCAGCATGGGGTGCGCAAGCTTTCCGCTGTGGGGTCTCTGCCTCTCAAACACCATTAAGCACTGTTGTAAAGCCTTCCTACCTATCTACCTTGTGCTTCTTATTTTTGGGCAAGTGATGTTTGAAATGTCTCTTATTTCTATCTTTTTACTTGTACTCTGGTGTTGAATATTAATTTCCTGTACCCATCAAAGATTATTTTTGAAATATTTCTAATATACTCCCTATTGTCTGCTTGCAATACCGGCGATAGCGCTGTGAGGCTCTCCGAAAGCAAGGAGGCTGAATCAAATAAACGCAGGATTTTTCTTCGGCTTTTCTAAACTCCATGGTATCCAACCCGAACAAAAATAAAGGCAAAGGAAAATCGCCAAGTAATGAAGTACTGTGTAAAACGCGGTGCGCTTCAGCAGCAGTTAGTAAGCCCTTGTATAACAAATAGACAGCCACCAGCGGATGATCTCAGCTTTCATAGTGATTTCGTGCCAAGCTTAAGTTGGGAGATATCTCTGCCCGGGCTTGTTTGGGGATTCTCGGGCTTCACTCGGCCTATGCCTTCCCGGTTGTTAGTATAGCTAGAAGAAGGTTACAATCCCGCAACTCCCTGCAGTTCAGGGGACACACACCTCGCCTGTTCCGTTCACCGTCCCCTATTTTCAGAATTGGCTCAGGAATCGATAGGTGGTGCATCTTCCGAAACATCAGCGTTTTTTCCCCGAATAGGTGAGAGTGATACGCTTGAGGTGTTGCGTGTCTGGTCCGGCGTTGATCGCTTTCTACCCTGATTGCCACGCCCAGACTTCCCTTTCCTGTCCCGCGAAGAGCTGCGTCGGCGATGACGGCTCTCCTTATGTCGCCGGCTTCCTTCATCCGGGGACGCATCCCGTCCGCGGCTACTACTGCGCGAGCTTGAATGCCGCCGAGATGGAGTTGACGAACGAGATAGTGACCGCGCACGTCTGCCAGCAGACCTGCTTCTCGAAGAAGAATACCTGCGTCGTTTTGGCGAGGGAGAGTTACGGTCAGATGAGGCCGAGCGTGATCGTCTAGCTCTACCAAAACGGTCTCGCCCTCGGTCAGACTTCCTCTGTCCAGACCTCGATCTTTTCCTTGGATGGCGACGATTTGAGCGCTCGCTTCTGCTTGAAGAGGAGCTGCGGCTACGAGAAGCCGATCTAGAGGATTCGGAACGTGTGCGACTGCGTCCTCGTCTCCATCCACGGTCTCGGCCGCGGTCGCGGTCGCCTCTTCCTCTCGGATAGTAGCTGTCGCGTCCGTACGAGTCACGCGACACACGGAACCGATTGTCGGGAGAGCGTGAACGGTTACCGCCTCGACCACCCCGGGCGCCTCCATCAAATGCGCGCTCTCCACGCCGACCTCCCCTTGAGAAATTCGGCCGGCCACCGTCTCGACGGTCTCGATCCTTCATTGTTGCGATTTCCCGATCTCGGCGGTTTTCGTCATCTCGTCTACGCCGTGTCTCTTCTGCTGCACGATCGGCTTCAATCTTCCGACAATGTTAGCACTTCAACTTTGTACCTCAATTGAACAAGCCATGGGCTCTTCACAAACCTTTTCCTGCATGAGCTCAAGCTTCTTGGCCTCGAGCAATTCTTTCGGAACGCCTTGAGGGCTTGCCTGGGCGCTCAGCAACAAGTTCCAGAGCTCTTTGCAGAACGCGGCTGTATCTTTCTCCAGAAAACCCGTAAGTTGAATTTGTAGAGCTTTGACATCCGGCTGGAAAGGCCCAATTAGCAAAAGCTCCCTTTAAACGCTGCAAAGTAGAGGCAAACGTACATATCGAACGCCTTCAACGAGATTGAAACAAAGTTCAATGACGACATCATCTTCGTTCCCCAAAATATCCGAAATTCGGTTCGCAATCCATCTGTGAATCACATCCGTTAGAAGTGTGCGGCCATATGCTAGGGGTAGGGAGATGGCAACTTTTTAATGACCTGCACGTTCACCTTCTGCATGTCGACCTTCTGGCTGAACTCGGGTGGAAACTTGGTCGACTTTAAAAGTCGAGCATCGACACCGGAAGCCATGGCCGAGGCTTCAATCCTGCGCGTCTAGCTGGGTGGTATGCGCGTTGCGGGAGCAAATGGCGATCCGGATGGCAACCAGGGGAAGGGGAAAGGTATCGGGAATTGGCTGAGGTTGTATGCATGGAAGAGGTGACGTCGAAGCTGTTGGTGAGATTGGCCCCAAAATTAGGCGGGATCGGCAGTATCAGAAAATTTAGAGGCAGTAAGCAGTGCAGTGTTGCGCTGGGGTTGGTGCACAGACCGCAAGCAGGGGCCTGTGGCACATCATTAGCTCCCCTGCCGCAGGCCTGAGGACCTGGCAATCGCCGCCAACTGAGTGTCACCAGCACAGGACTACAGAGCTTAGGTGAGCTCTTGAACGCCTCCCCTGCACCCTGGACCTAGAACCCCGCGGAAGCTTGAGGCTGCTCTCTTGACGTACAACTAACAGCTCCATTCAAGAAAGGACTTTGTATTAATATCAATAGCTTCGCTACCTGTATTTCAAATTGCTCTTTCGCACAGATTATCTCAACCATCTCAAAAAGAATCACGAATCACTGTGTTCATTTCACCATGGAGAATGAAAACATACACGCTCCCACGGTGCCCTCAGGGCCAACCAGCTCAGGCGCCACCAATGGCAATTCAACTCATCTAAGCTTTGCAGAACTTCAACGGAAGAAGGATGAGGTGGAAACCGAGCTCAAAGCCCTCGGAAGTGTTTTAGACTCAGTAAATGATGAACTCCTAAACCCCCAAAACTGCTTTCAAACTGACCAGTTGCGAAGCATAACGTCAATATGGAAACGCCGCTACTCACAAGGGACGGGTTTCCTCGTGCAGACTTAGACGTCGCCCAGAGTAGGCTCTGCGATTTCCTGTTCGAAATCCATACCGTTGCATGGAATGCTAACAACGGGCTGTGACAGTCCGGACAACAAGAGCTCGCATCATTCGTCTTCGGAATGACTACAAGAGCCTAATGAATATCATCGAGAAGTATCTTCACGAGCACTTCGCCAGTCTTGACGAAGACGCAGTCGTGCAGGTACCTGAGCAAACCACACATTCCATCCTGCCGGATTCCGAACCCGCTGTCCTCGAAGAGGCGTTTGCGAAGGTAAACACAGTTGCTCCCAACGGCCCCGCCGATGCTGCTGGGCTGAAACCTGGCGATGAAATCCGGACATTCGGCTATGTGAACCACACCAACCACGACAATCTCAAGAAAGTGGGAGAGTGTGTTCAAAGTAACGAAGGTGTACGTCTGGTCCCGCTGGCATTCCCTTGCTAATTTGCCCGTGCTTGACTGACTTTTGCCAAAGGCCAACATCTTCATTCGAGTATCCCGTGCCACGCCCGATGGGGCCGCGCGCCAGGAACTTCGCCTCACGCTCAATCCCAGGAGGAATTGGGGTGGCCGAGGATTGTTGGGCTGTCACATCATTCCCATCTAGAGACAGCTATCTGGGCCTTGACAGACTGATAACGAAAGTAATGATAGTATCGGAACTGCCACATCACGCATCTTCCCTCATGTAGCAATTCATCCCTCGCGCAGCTTGTTGATTGGTCCATACACACACAAGTGCAAGTCAGGCTTCGCGAGTGTTGTGTATGCCAGGGTGACAAAGCAATGTCTAATCAGAAGTCCGTAGGGTCAAATCATTGTCGCAGAGCTCCATGGCAGGAACATCGGACCGGATTGCCCGTTTTCGAATGGTTCGCGGTGCTCTGGCAAGGTAGAAAGGCAGCTTAGAGTCTGCTCAGCCAGCATTGGGTAGGCAGGCATTGCTAGGATATCCGGTCTTTATTTGTAATCCAATATAAATTGAAAAGAGAATTGATACCCATATACTACAATGATACTAGTGCGATCTAAAAGTGGCAGAGCTGTATTACATTGGTGAGTCAAGCTGTTGATAATATAGGCACCCATTGCCTGCCTAAGAAATTTCGTTCAGTTGGGCAGCTGTGGTACGATTTGCGAGGTCCGTGAGGTATCATCTCAGCACAGTGGCAAGCCAGCACCCTGCAGAACAATCAAGCTAGCTAGAGCCCTTACAGAATGGTTCACCGGCCACGGTGCTCCGCAGAGGCAACTAGAACAATTGCAATGGTTGAGCCAGTGACGTTATCTCCCCCAGTGGCGGGTCTCTTGTCTCCAGGCAACCTGCTGTTAGGCTCCCAGGTGTATTGTAGTGATTTGATGCCTGTAATATCACGTGCAGCCTCCCACCCCTGGCCGACTGAATTTTTCGCCTAAGGGCTTCCATATCTGGCCAGCCCAAGATTCCCCGCCAAAACATCAAGGCCGCCCGACCTGCGATTCTCTTTCTCTCCCCAGTGCACTCGCAACAAAGCTGCGACTTTTCTTCCAGGTACGCCCAAAAATAGCCACCGCCCTGCCCGAACAAAGATCCGGCCTTTCACACGAGACTATATAAACCTCTCGATTCCCGCCGCTTCCCTCTTTTACGATTTAATCAGATTGCAGTCGATCGCTGACTTCTCAATCCACTTCCTAGCCACCCCGCTTGTTTACACCTCTTGACCCAGATTGTCACCACACCTCACAACCATCCAAAATGGCTGAGCAACAGGTTCCTACCTTCAAGCTTGTCCTTGTCGGTGATGGCGGTACCGGAAAGGTATGATGATTCTCAAGGAGGTCTTCGCGATACGCGTACAGGTTCGCTGCGCAGCTTTGTCGAATACCCCGCCATCCTGGAGTTTTTTTCCTTGCAGTCTCTGTGACATCACATCGCTAACCAAACATGACATTATCTACATATAGACCACCTTCGTCAAGCGCCACTTGACTGGTGAATTCGAGAAGAAGTACATGGCCACTCTTGGTGTCGAGGTTCACCCTCTTGGCTTCAGCACCGTACGTCTTAAAATTCGTCGCCCCACTACCGACCGCTCTTGATGCTAACCACGAGAGCAGAACTTTGGCAACATCCAGTTCGATGTCTGGGATACCGCCGGTCAGGAGAAGTTCGGTGGTCTCCGCGACGGTTACTATATCAACGGCCAGTGCGGTATCATCATGTTCGATGTCACCTCCCGTATCACCTACAAGAACGTCCCCAACTGGCACCGTACGTATTTGATCCGAAGAACCTCCTGTCAATCACCTGGATGCAGCCGATTTTCTAACACAATCATTAGGTGATCTCGTCCGTGTCTGCGAGGGTATCCCCATCGTTCTCTGCGGTAACAAGGTCGATGTGAAGGAGCGCAAGGTCAAGGCCAAGACCATCACCTTCCACCGCAAGAAGAACCTCCAGTACTACGATATCTCTGCCAAGTCCAACTACAACTTCGAGAAGCCTTTCCTCTGGCTCGCCCGCAAGCTCGTTGGCAACCCTGCCCTGGTATGTCTTGCTCTCCCCCTTGTTACTTCTGGCCACTCTTTGTCCAGATACGGAAATTCCTATTTTGTCGCGCAATACTAACACCAATACCAGGAGTTCGTTGCTTCCCCTGCCCTTGCTCCTCCCACCGCCCAGGTCGATGAGGGTCTCCTCGCCCAGTACGAGCAAGAGATGAGGACCGCTGCCCAGCAGCCTCTGCCTGATGAGAACTCTGATGACGACCTGTAAAGGATGACCAAAAACGAACGTTGAAGGCGATAATTTTCGCCGAGTGTTAGATGACTGAGATGCATTATGGGACTGGGCCAGCTTCAGTTCTTACGGGAAGTCTATTTGCACCCGGAATGACCATTTACGACATTGGGAGGAAAGTTCTTTGAGGGGTTCAGGAGTGTTGACCAGAGACGGCGACCTAAGGAGTGTCCGTCGCCCTTTCTTAGGGTAGATTTAAGATGATGCTGCTGAAGGCGGTATCGTCCATTTTAGCTAGACTTAACACGCATATAAATATGATGTTCAGACCTGCTTTGCGAGGTCGTTATAATACACAGCCTTCCGGCCTTGGGAGACCACCCCATTTTCCCCTTGCGAATTGCGAATAAAATGAGAAAGACAGTGCCATTTTCGGTCTCCTATCCATTTACAAACATTTCGTCTTGCTCGTTCTTTTCAGGACTTTGTAAATTCCATCGAACGCTAACTGCCTAACGGCACATCATTGCGAACCTAGACCGCTCAGGCTCTGAAGCCGAATGCCGCGGCCTACCCTAGACTTTATCAACCATCATTGATAACCTCGTCTAGACTAGACATTGAGCTCATTCATGAATCCTTCCAATGGACGTGTCAATTGGGTGGTTTTTTTTTTTTTAAACTGAGAACATTATTTGCCCATATAACTTTGGTGTACCCGATATATCTTATCCAAACATGAAGGCTGCATAGTAACTCTCGCACTATAGAGGATGTGTAAGTCGCGACAATGGAATTTGGCACGACCCAACCCAACGAGAGCCCAATCCATATATTCATAGGCAAAATCGGCACCTCTCAAATATTGTATAGAATTCGAACAGAATCATACGCAACAGCATATCAGGACATTAGATTCAATGTACGGTCAAAGAGAAGACATTTGTACGCCCCCATGCCTGTAGGGTGCTCACAATCGATGCATGTAATTAGAGCGAGCCATCGACAAAACATCAAGCAACTCGAAGATGATACCATTCATGCATTGGCAGTAATAACCAAGGAGCACAGATGTAAAACCAGCCTGCTGCAGCCACACCAAGGACGCTCAAGTGATCACCATGTGCGTGGGTAGGGGTAGGTGCGTCTACAGGGTATGGCCTCGTACAGGACCCAGGCCGACATGCTCGTTTGATTGCCGGCGCCTGAGGGTCACTATGACCCTCAACGGAAGCTTAGGCGCCGGAGGAATTGTTCAGAAGAGAGAGCTTGGGCGGTCCCTCGAGAAATACCCATCGAGGACTCTGTATACCGAACACGGTAGGTCGTCCAGACTTTCGGTTGGCGGTAGGACAGGGTGATCACTCCGAGAAGGATTTTAAATGTACAAAGAACATCTACCGAGGCGAGGCAAGCAGGCTGCATGGGGGACAAAGTGGCGGTGCC